CCCCTATCGAAGCCCCAACCATGCGTTGTGTTTAAAATGAGCTGCAAATTTCTCTGTTCGCAGACTATTGTAGAGACATTCAAACGTATGTTTTCCTGTTGATTTCGACGTAGGCATAACACAGGTACATATATACGTGACCTGTAAAGAGTTCAGTAATGGCGTGTTATGACACAATGGCTCGTAATCTTTTTCTAGCCGGTGAAATACTGGGAGAACTTGTGCTATGAACCAAATGATTTCATCGGTCCTGCCAATGGTGGCAGTAGCTGACTGACTCCTCTCACCGGAGTGGTGAAAGGTCTGATTACAAAGTGCTGCCACTTATACATTCTGCGAATGTTCACATCTCACCACGCACCACCGTGGTCGTTTTTCAGCTAGGGCTAGTTAGACTTCCCTCATCCAAGTACTCAGTAGATGCCACATTGGACACCGTTAGCGCACTATCTAAAATGCTAGCAGAGTGCTATATAGTACTACGAAAAAAAAACGAAGTGAAACGCTCAAAAACCTCTGAAGAAAACCCTTCGTCCTTAATGACTTGAATTTCGGACGAGTTTCCCGGCATCTAGCCAGCCGTAGGTACGGTCGCAGGTATGAACTCATACATCCATGCAGCACCGCGGCCGCTATCAACCCTTTCTCGCTTCATATTCTACCTAACAAATGAAGTAATACGAGTATCAGGTACGGTCTTCCATTTGTGGGCGGGCGGGCGCGGTGGGCGTCCGGGTCGGTATGTTGCAGCTTGAGAGCCTTATAAGGGTACCTTCCTTGGAAAAGGTGCCACGCAGCGCCTGCTCAGGAGCACGGAATTCCGTCTTGCCAGGCTTATTGATCCCACTTGAGGATTTACCTTGCCAACTGCCTTTAACTCTTGATATGCTACTGCACGTCCAGTGAATGAATAAATCAAGAGCTGTGCCAAACCTATGAGCCTGTACTATTTTTCACTAGGTGATTCTGCCCTCATGTGGCCTTACCTGTCCGAATCCTCCAATACTGATAAGACTGCCAACTACATAATCATCGAGAAATTCGCCATTTGATAACAAGTGAGGAACCTCCTGCTTCTCGTCTTGATTACGATTGGTCTGCAGTTAAGCATTTCGGAAAAAAATGAGACTCTTGATTCCACTCAGTCTAATTGCTTTTAGAATTCTCCCTCAGTAAAGTAAATTTGTGAAGGAAAAGGGAATTGTTGATCTTATGTCACATGTGGTCAATCAAGGACAACCGAGCGATCGCATACTAGTGAGAGTGATGTTCAGTAATAAACCTATAGTCATTAAATGACTCTCCAGGGGAGAAAAAAAAAGCAAAAAAATTATGGAGAACACCCTAACAAAGGACGGCAGCCTCTGTGAACGAGTTCTCCAAACCTGCTGGTATTATGCAAGCAGCGATACCCTGCCGCCTCTGGCTCACTAATTGTTTCTTCGTGCCATCTAATGCTATACCATCTTACAGAGAAAAAAAACACGGAGTAAAAACTGAACTCGTGACAGAAAGTAGCCCCAGAGTTAAAGCTACGCGTTTAGGTATAGAAGGTGAAAATATGGCGTCAGGACTGTGGACCGCGAAGAACAATTTTTTACCGGCTTCGCGACAAAAAACTGTAAGGGAGGGGCGCTATAGCGGAATACAGGTTCAGTGATGCCTTTTTTTCCAGTGACTCCGCCTCCAGACTCCGCCCTCAGGGTCCGCCTCTCAGCGAAAAACGAAGCTGCTGTGCGGATAAGGGCGTAGTGTTGATGGAGGTCGGTTGAGCACATACAAACGGGATTATTCAGGGCAGTTGGCATGTTTTTTCAGCTTTTTTCTTCACTATCGAGTTACTCAGAAATTTGTTGTCTATATGCGAACCCCTAGTCCACTATTTTATATGCGAACCCCTAGTCCACTAATCCACTATTTGTGACAGCGAATGATTGTGGGCTGTCTTTAAGATGGACGGGACAGCTGGGGAGGCGTCAGAACGCCACTTATGAGAACCGCAGCGTCTTCGCTACAGATTGTGAAGCCGCGGAATGGGACATTCTTAGAGAGTGCGTGCCAGACTGTTTGGACAAGGAATGACGCCCACAACTAGCTTGAGCCCGAGTGCAGTGTTCACGTGCAGAATGGTGCGTTTCAATTTATAGCCTA